GGGAGTGGGAGAGGGAGAAGCAGGCTTCCCGCGGAGCAGGGAGCCCGACGTGGGGCTCGATCCCAGGACCCCGGGATCATGACCTGAGCTGAAGGCAGACGCTTAACGACTGAGCCACCCAGGCGCCCTCCCCTCCTCCACGGTTCTTTTGTGAAGAGGGATCTCAGAGGGCTTGGGATGGAGGCTGTAGGGGGAGAAAGGGACCAGAGCCACGTCATGGGGCCTGGAGACCATGGCTGTGGTTTCCGGTTCTCCAGAAACATTCCCCCCAGCTCGCCCGCAGCCTTTCCACCCCTGTTCCCTGGCTCATCCTGTCCATTTGGAGGACCACTGGATTGGAAATAACAGGCTGCCCGCCAGCCCTCTCCTCCCACCAGGGACACATCTGCCCCCCCACCCCACCCTCCCAGAGGGATGCAGTCAGGCAGGGAGAAGGAGGGGAGCAGAGAACAGAACAGATCAGGGAAAGCATTTAAAAAGCAGGTCTCAGGGTTAGAGGCTGGAAAGTAGGGGGCAGGCTGGAGCGCCCAGGAGGGCGGGGAGAGGGGGGTTGGAGAGAAAGGGCCTGCGCTTATTAACCCCAATGAAGCAGCCTGGCCCCTGGGTGTGTGAAGGTAGGAGAAGGCCAGGAAGGAGGAAGGGGAAAGAGTCTGGGGGTTCATCTAGGAACCCTTCCACAGCCACAGGAGCTGGGCTCTTCTCACCAGGGGCTGCCTCGGCACCAGCTGACAGATGAGAGGAGAGGGAACCGGCCCTGGCCTGAGGCAGCCCTCCTCCGGGCTGAGACGGGGAGAGAGCCCCTGCCCTCAAGGGGCTCCTATCTGACAGTGAACCATGGGTGCTCGCATCAGGGAGCTCCCACAGAAGAGAGGGTGTCCTGGGGGACCCTGTCCTTAGGGAGACTCCATTCTGATGGGAGGACATAGGTCATAACATCAGGAAGTCCCTCTCCATGGAGGCCCTTCTCCTGGGGAAGCCTCAGGCTGAGGGGCAGGAGGGACCCCCTCCCACGGGACATGATAACACACCAAGAGCTTCTCAAACCGATGGAGCTTTGGGCCTCAAGTCTGCCGCTGGGGAAGGGCAAGGATGGAGGGACAGAGCCCCAGGGGGAGTCAGGGAGGTGAGAAAGCAGGCTGGGAAACAGGCTCTACCCTGAGTCTCCTCCGGGGCACACAGAGATGACTCACGCGTGGTCCCTGGCAGACCCAGCTAGTGGTCTGGGGCAAACAGTGCCGCCTCCCACCCTCTCTCCCCTGGCTGCTGCCCCCTGTGTCCTGTCCACACTCCCAGGTAACTGTCCTGGGGAGGTTCCTATACGCTGTCCCCTGCCGGCCCCCAGCGGGGTCAACAAGACACAGCAGCGCCCCCCCCCCCCCCCCCCCCCCCCCCAGGCAGGCCCAGCTCCTGCCCCTCCAGGCCCAGGCCATCGCTAACACAGATTAGGTAAAGCACCGGGTGGGTATTGTTAAATGGAAGCTGTGATTTGTCGAGCAGCTGCTGTGTCCGGCTTTCCCTGAATTTATCCTCTCTGCTACCTTGGACCTAAGTGTCGTGAGTCCCCATCTTACAGGTGTGCAAATGGAGACTCAGAGAAGTTCCTGAAGTCGTCTAAGATCATGTAGCTATTGAATGGCCGTGGCCCCTCTCTCCTCTAGAGGGCACTGTCAGAGCAGTCTGAAGCAACTCTAGAGCATACATGAGGTGATCCCTCTGGGGAATAGAAATCCGGGGTTTTAGAAAGCCTGCCTGCCTCTGTGAGGCCCGCTCTGTCCCCTCTGCGGGACCCTGCGGCCGCTCGGAGCTGGGCAGCTGAGCACTGCCATCTAGTGGCCACCAGGGCCCGGTTCCCTTCCTCAGGGAGGGGGCCCACGTGGGGTGGATGGACTCAGTGGTAGCCAAGGAGTCCACGGGAGAGTCCCAACTTCTCCTCATCCCACCCGCGCATGCGGACCAACATGCTGCGCCAGGCACTGGGAACGGGGCCGGGGCACAAGGGGAGCCAGTGGGCAGCAGTCTAGTGGCTTGAATTAGAGGCTGGCAAATTTAGAAAATGCTGGGCACCCTTGTGTGTGCGTTGAGGCCAGGTGTGGTACTGATCTGTCCCAGGAGGCAGGAGGGCATCCTGGCGGATTCTGACACGGGGGCGGGGCATGGAGGTGGGAGACCATCTTGTCTCCACCTCGGCTTGAAGTGGGGCATGGCTTGGCTGAAGGCCCTTCGGAGAGGCATCAGGCATCCTCTCCCCAAGGCCGGCAGCTTTCTGCTGTCTATGCAGAAGTCAGTCTAGGGATTGGCTTGAGACTTTGGACATTGAGGCCCTTAGATTAGGGAAGCAGGAGAGGAGGGACCACAGAGATGGGGCCTGAGCGAGGCCAGGAGGATGGGAGTAGTCGTGGAGGCTGGGAGCTGCATCTGCCTGAGGCAACTGTGCAGCATAGTGTGATCTAGAACGGGGGGGGGGGGGGAACTGTGTGTCTAACAATAGGGCTTGGGTAAATTAATGCATACAGTGGAAAACCATGCAGCTGTTAAAATGATGATGTAGATAAATATTTATTGATATGGAAAGATGTTCACAACATATTGCTGAGTGGAAAAAACAAATTACAAAATAATTTGTGCAGCATGAGCCCACTTGTAAAAAAAAAATGAACATATATATGGAGGAAAATCTGGTAGTGTTTATCTCCAGGTGGTAAAATCATGGCTAATTAAATTTTTTCGTTTTGCTTATCTATATTTTCTGATTTTTCTACAGCGAATGTGTCATACAAAATAATGAAAGTTTGGCAAACAACCACGACCATGTCTATCTACCTCTCCGGTTCTTGTGTGGACATCTTTGGATAGTTAAGGGCTGAGTGTGGGGGATGGGTCTAGGGTCTGATGGAGGTTGAGGATGGAGCCAAGGAGCCTGGGTGACACAGGTCCGGGGAGGTGGCTGAAGGGGGTGAAGGGGGGACCTCTCTCTGCTGCTGCTGAAATAAGCCTGGGTCACACACACAGAGGGACCAGTCACTGAGCCTCACTGACAAGCCCTTCCTGCTCTAGTTCCATCTCTCCCGCCCCACCCCCCAGACTGCTTTACCCTCATTTCAACTAGATTTCACTGGAACAAAGAGAGAAGGCCGTACATTGTGACTTTCCTGGCAAGCTAGAAGGACAGCCACTCCTAGTCACAGAGAGTAATTGGGATGAGGGTTTGTCCCATCTTTTTCTCCTTTTAATGCCCCCTGACTTTCCCAGCTCCTCCACCCATAGCAGGATCAAAAGTCATGGGGTATCCCCTCCCCAAGAGTCCCCTCCCCATGTTACTGCTCAGGTCCAGGGTCAAGCGTGGCTGAAGACTTCGAGACCCTCACCTTCCCTCTCTTGCTGGGACTCACCAGGGAAAACCTCGGCAGGCAGCTGATAACATGCCCAAATGGAGTGCGTCTCCCCAGCGTGGGGTAAGAGGCATTGCCCCGTCTGGAGCTCAGGGGTGAAGCTGGCTCTGGGAGCTGGGGAGGGGGCAAGCAGCCAGGCCTTGTCTGCAGAGCCAGAGACCTGGCAGTGCCGGGCTGGCCGCACCCCCCCCCGGGCCTTCCCCTTGTGCCCACTGCATGACTCACCTTGGCACAGACACAATGGTCAGGGGTGGGCACAGAGCCTGCCCCCCACTGCACCCCGGCCCCCTCAGAGGCTTCCGAGAAGCTCTTTGAGCTGGGGGCTTGGGCTGTTCTCTGCCTAATAGCCTGGCATCTTGGGATAAAAACAGCACAGCCCCCCGGGGGCTGCCCTCTCCGTGTGGCGCCCTGACCAGTGGTGGAAAACAAGGCTCTATTCAGCAAGTGTCCAGGAGAAGGGGATCAGAGGCCCAAGCATGGGCAGCAGGGGGGGTGGGGAGATGAGGGCTTCCCAGAAGTCCAAGGACACAGATGGGTGAGGGGCCTGGGTGAGGTTCTGGCCCCCCGTGGAACCAGAACAGAAGGGTGGATGGATCTGAAGGGTCAGGCTCCAGGACGCCTGGCCCTGGGCTCCTAGTATGGACCCAGTGGCTCCCGGGTTCCCACACTGACTCATCCCCAGAGGCCTTTCCGTCCTCTCAGCCTGATGTGTGGGAACTCAAAGGAGATAAATCTCCAGTGTGAAAGTGAGGTGAGGGGTGGCCGGGAAAACAGGGTGATGCGGGAACAAAGATGGGAGCCAGGACAGCCAGCGCATCCATAATTGCTTTTGTGTGGCTGTCAAGGCCCGGCTCCAGACCGGGGTGCAGAGAGGCTGGGCAAGGGGCAAGCGAGCCCCCTGGGACTGAGGCAGGGGCTTAACTGGGGTCCAGGGAGAAGGCCAGGGAGTGCGGCGCCTGCCCCTCTTGCTCCCTCAAAGCTTCCATGTTCCTTCCTTCATCCTCCCCCGCCTCCCTGCCAGACAGAGGCCTCAACTGACCCTCTAGACAAAGGGCTGGTGTCCAGTTGCAGCCCACAGCCCCAGACCTCCAGGGAAGGGGGAGAAAGCAGGAATGCAGGACGCCCATGTTCGGAGGGGAAGAGTCCAACAGTCTGCTGGGAATGCGGCTCAGCAGGAAACTGCAACGTGGGCTGGAACACGTTCGTTCTCTGCAAGTTCCCAGCACTTAGCAGGCACTCGAAGGAAGAGTGCTGTGCTGCGATGGGCTCTAAGAGGTGGAAAGCAGGTCAGAGGTCATCTGATCCAGACCTTTCCTGGGGAAAGGGCCTCCCTGCCCAGTGGTCAGGGCCGCAGACGGAGCATCCAGCCCCAGGCACCAGGAGGGTCCCTGTCTGTGGCCGGACTGGGGCTGGCAGGCCCGGGAGGCCCTGCCTCTGGGCACGGTGACCTCGGTGGGGTGAGAAGGGCTCTCCCCATGGCCGAGCTGTGGCCCGGCCCCTCCCCCTCAGGCCATGCCAGGGGGCGTTGCCCGGGGCGGCTGGGGCAGCGCCAGGCCGGCCCACGCCTCCATAAAGCCCTCACTTCCCAGGAGCGGCCGGAGTCTGGCCAGCATGGAGAGGAGACGGGTCACCTCAGCGGCTCGCCACTCCTACAGCTCCTCCTCGGACGTGCTCGGGGGAGGCCTGGTCTCCGGCCGCCGCCTGGGCCCGGGCCCGGGCACCCGCCTCTCCCTGGCCAGGATGCCGCTTCTTCTCCCAGCCCGGGTGGACTTCTCGCTGGCCGGGGCCCTCAACACCGGCTTCAAGGAGACGCGGGCCAGTGAGCGGGCAGAGATGATGGAGCTCAACGACCGCTTTGCCAGCTACATCGAGAAGGTGCGCTTCCTGGAGCAGCAGAACAAGGCGCTGGCTGCGGAGCTGAACCAGCTGCGGGCCAAGGAGCCCACCAAGCTGGCCGATGTCTACCAGGCTGAGCTGCGTGAGCTAAGGCTGCGGCTCGACCAGCTCACAGCCAGCAGCGCCCGGCTCGAGGTCGAGAGAGACAATCTGACGCAGGACCTGGGCACCCTGAGGCAGAAGTGAGGAGGGGGCCCGGGGAGAGGGGCCTCATGAACAGGGAAGATGCCCGATGCCCCCCGCCCCCACCCCCGGCCCAGCGGGTGTGCCGCAGACCCGCAGGATGTCAGGCAGGGGGTTTTGCCTCCATGATCCTTGGCTCCTCTGTTTCCCCATCTCTGGGAGGGGAGGGCTGTCCTTGCTCCCCAAGATGATGGGAGGGACTGGGAGGAGCCCAGAGTCTCAGGGATCTGAATCCCGAAGACCTCTGGCCAAGGAGCCTGCGTACTCTCAGCACGTCCCCGTTGGGGAGAGCTGTGCGGGAAGAGTCAGGGACCCCGCAGGCAGGGTCTTCGCATTTCATTCACTGCAGGGCCTGGTGGCCTTTTGGGTCCGTAGAGAGGAGGAATGGGAAGAGGAAATTGGTGGGCAGTAGGAGGACTGGGCTCCCAGGGGAAAGGAGGTGAGGGAAAGAGCAGGCCTGGCTTCGGGAACACAGATGATGCTCCCTGTTACCAGCTTATGACCCTGGTCAAGCCACTTCAGCCTGCAGAGCTGTGAAGCAGAGATTCTAATAAAACCCATTTCCAAAGGTCAGGGGAAACCCCAGGGATGGGTGTTTTGCTGAGCTGGCAGGGCACGCACGTGTGTGTGTGTGTGTGTGTGTGTGTGCCCTCAAAGTGCAGGAGGATGAGTGTGTTTGTGCATGCAGCCGTGAGTGTATGTTGGTGAAAGCACCTGTGTGAGTAGGAACAGGGGACCAGCCTTGATAAAGCACCTTAGTAACGAGTTAAAGCAAAGGTCCTTGTCTGCTCACCCTCCTGGCCAAGGCTCTGTCTGAGATCCTATGCCCTTCACTCCTCCTGCCTTTCCACTGGTCCTGGGGGTGGGGATTCTCTCTGGCAGCCACCTCCAGGGAGATTGGGGGGCAGGGGTCCAAGATCCTCAGAAGAGCCTGGACCCAGGAATGTGTCCCCCTACCCCAGGCTCCAGGATGAAACCAACCTGAGGCTGGAGGCTGAGAACAACCTGGCCACCTATCGACAGGTCAGGGAGGTGGAGGGGAGGGGGAAGGATGGGGGGGTAAAGGGTTGATGGCAGGTCACACAAATAGCCCCCAAGCCCAGCCCTCCAGAACAATGTGCTGCTCTCCCCCGCCACAGAAGGAGGGATCAGACAAGGCTAGGGAGCGGGGAGGAGGAGTCTGGGGTCAGAGCAGCCTTTTGCCCCTCCTTGCTCCAGGAGGCAGATGAAGCCACCCTAGCCCGCCTGGATCTGGAGAGGAAGATTGAGTCTCTAGGGGAGGAAATCCGGTTTTTGAGGAAGATCCACGAGGAGGTAAGGCCAACATAGAGACTGGAATGGATAGAGACAGAGAGCCTGAGATTGAGAAATACTCACAGACAGAGAGAAAGAAAATGAGAGAGAGAGACTGAGGGAGACAGACATAGAGACAACAGAGCATCCTCAGTCCCTGGTGAAATTCATACAGACACACACCCCTTACTAAGCATTATAACAGACCTTGTTGCCTCATTTTTTATTTCACTACAGTCTTGTGAGATAGGGACCCTCCCAGTATGATCTCCCAGTATGATCTCTGTGAAACAGAGGACACCGAAGCCCCGCCAGGTTAAAGAACTTGCTAAGGTCACATAGTTAGTCTCTCTGACATCACCCCCACTGCCACCTGTCTCCATTTAAATGAGAGCCCTTCATTTTAAAAAGATACCACTGAGCTCTCTGACTTCAGATTATGGATTCAGAGTCCATGATGCCAAGGAACCTGGGAACCCATAGACACACCCACACCACGGGGACTCGGTCACTCTCCCACAAGAACACAGGCACGCATTCAGTGCTCCTGCCTGGCCGAACCTGGGAGGAGGACACCATGAGGCCCCCAAACGACCCTCTGCTCCCCTAGCCTGGGCCATGCCACTTCCTCTAACTAGAACTGCCCCATTTCCCTTAGCCAACGTCAGCGTCCAAGGGGCAGGCAGACCAGGGCAGAATACTGTGGGGAAACCCCAGTGGCAGCCCGGGCCCCCGGTCCTGGCATCGCCTTCTCTCATCTTGCCCAGGAGGTGCAGGAGCTCCAGGAGCAGCTAGCCCAGCAGCAGGTCCACGTGGAGCTGGATGTGGCCAAGCCGGACCTCACGGCGGCCCTGAGAGAGATCCGCACGCAGTACGAGGCCATGGCGTCCAGCAACATGCATGAGGCCGAGGAGTGGTACCGGTCCAAGGTAGCCCTGACTGTGGGCCAGCCTGCCTCCTCTGGGCAGCCCTACTGGCTCCATACAAGAGAATTGGGGAACAAGGGTGGAGGAAGCTGGGAGAGGATCCTCTCTGGGTGATTGACCTTCACCAGAGAAACGAGGTGGCTTGCCCAGGGTCACACAGACACCATTACTGCCAATGAATATTTCTTCCTTCCTTCCTTCCTTCCTTCCTTCCTTCCTTCCTTCCTTCCTTCCTTCCTTCCTTCCTTCCTTCCTTTCTTTCTTCTTTCTTTTTCTTTCTTTCTTTCTTTCTTTCTTTCTTTCTTTCTTTCTTTCTTT